ACCTCCTTCTTCTTCCTCTCCTCCCCATTCTATCCTCTTTCCACTTTTTTCTCCCCACCCTCCCCATTCAAAATGTCTCAATTTTCCCTTCAATGAAAATTTCAAACCTTTTCTATTTCCTTCATTTCATCCCGCAAGACGAATGACCATAATGCTCTTCTGTCGTATGTGACAGAAGAGCATTCATTCTTATTTTTGTCACATTAATCAACTTTTTTCTTGTTAACCATTCATGAAGTTGTCATTTTGTATTGTTTCTCACCTAATTTCTAACACCTATTTTACGCTATTTTTCGGATATTTCCTATCCAACATTTTCAGTATTTTGAAAATTTTGTTTTGAAATTTGAGCTTTGTTCCTTTCATTTCTTCATTTTTCTGCATTGCAAAATTTTGCATTCTTTAAAAAAAAAAAAAAAGAGAAAGACTACGCCATCAAGAAAACTAATGGTCACACTGATGTCAAAAATGTCCCATTAAGTAATTAGCATTTGTATTGACTATAATTATTGCAATTGGAATGATTTGATGCATTCTTTAAAGAAAAAAAAAAAAAATGCTATTTTGACAAGTTTCAAATGTTCTTCAAAAATGTAACACTTTAATATTCGACAAAATCATGCGTATTACTATTAGGAATCATTTCTAATTATTGCGACATTTTTCAAAAAATTAATTAATTGTATTGTTAATGTCACTGATCTTATTAACTTTAGGAACCGATCACTGGCGATATTTAATAGGATTGTTTGCTTCTTTGCAATAAGAACACTTGATTTTAAATAAGCTTATGTTGAATTTCTAAATTTTAAGAATAGATAATAGGTAATTTTAGCTTTATCCAGCAAATTTTTTAATTTTCAATTGGACAAAAAATTGTCTCTCATTAGTAAGCAATGCAATTCTAACCAAAACATTAGAATTAAAATATTTCGAAACATTTACAATTAATCTTTTTCATCCCATTTATCTACTAATTTCATCATTTTAAAATTTCAAATTGGTCGAAAGCTGAAAATTTTTCACGAATTTTTTCCCCAATTTAAATTTTAACCGAAACTAATTTAAATTTCTAAATTAGATTTCAATTTTTTCCCATAGCTTAGTAGGAAATTCCTTCCAAAATTTGCTCTTATTCAAAAAGGATAAATAAATAAATGATTATGATACTTACTAGACAAATAATGGTAATTAATCACAAATACTTCATACTGTTATGACAACAAAAAGATGGCAAAATCTGGAATGAAGTTAAAAGATAAGTTTGAATAAATGTATACTAATAGTTGTTTATATTATACAAATCTTTTCTGAAATATCTTTCTTCCGGTCCTCATGTAAACTTCTTTAAAACATTTCATTTCTTTAATATTTCACAATAGCAACCTATCATTTCATTATTATCCTGTTTCCGTTCATTGCCAATCGTAATTGACAGCTATAATCAATGTCGCAAGTAAATATCTCGAAGTTATCCTGAAGTTATCATCACTAATCAAGAATGTTCGATTGTAAGGAAATCTATGTTTAGAGATCCAATTATTTGGAGTTACCACTTGTTGTAAAGGATTCAAAAAATGCGATCGAAATCTATATTACTGTAGATCTGGAAAAAATCTTCACAACCATTCAAATTTTAAATTTGCACTATTTGTTATCAAATTAAAAATTTTTCCCATAGTAATTATTACATAAATGAAACATGTTGAATCAGTGTGAAACAAGAATGAATCAATTAATTAATTACGATTTTAAATTTTTCATGCATCATTTTTACACATTTTTTTTGCAGAAGTAGGAAGCGAGAATAGGACAGTTAATTAATTACAGTATGACAGATTAGATGTGTCTTCCAACTAAAACTATCTATTGCTGTTGAACTATTAAGATTACGGAATTTTCACGATCTTTTTTTCAATCTCATAAATTTCTATGTTTACATATCATCTGAGTTCGGATGAGCGAAAGAAATCTGCGACACACTCTAAATTAATAGTATACCTGGCATCTCATTAATTGTTTCTAAATTATGGCAGTTGTCATTACCGGAGTTTTTTTTTTTCAATTCCATTTTTTTATAAATTTTTTTTTGGAATTTGAGCGTATGATCTCGTTATTAGTATCAGTAATGATGTAATAGCGGCAAATTATTCAAAGCTACTTAAGATAATAAGCAGTTCAAGGGTCGTCGGTTGTTTATTTCCTTTCCTTATCGGCGTCCAAATCTGGGTACCACGAATGATATTACTTGATATGCGTACTGATTGAACAGGTACATTCACAGCGATACGATCAAGTCAAGTGTTTATTCACCGGATATGGAGTGAAAGACATGAGGAGGAAATGGAAAGAGTGAGGGAGAGGGATGCGACATCTGCGAACAGCTGGTGCTGATAGTTGTAGTAGCAGTAGTAGCTGTAGTAGTAGTAGCAATAGTGTAGTAGCAATAGTAGTAGTAGTGGTGGTAGTGGTAGTAGTTATGGTAGTAGTAGTAGCAGTAGTAGTAGTGGTGGCAGTAGTAGTGGTAGTAGTAGTAGCTGATCGTAGTGAAAGGAGGGAGGATATAAGCAGAAGGAAGGAATGCAAAGATATTTGATGGTCATCAGCAGTAGTCATACACCCCTGAAATAATGATTCCCATCCCGTGTCCACATCGTGGGTGGGTTGTTGGTTGGTTCATTTGAGATTGCTGACCGAGATATTTTCTGAGCCTTCTATCTTCCCCCTTCTACACTTTTGGTACCTCCATTCCATCATGTATTCCACTTCTTACCCCCGTTCTACCCTCTCTGTCCCCTCCACCGTTCCTCTTCCCCCGCGCATTTATCCGCTGTTAAACATATGCATGCTCATTTTGAACCACTATTTCAAATCCAGATAACTACCCAACGATAGAAGCCAATGCTATACACACACACACACACACAGACACAGACACAGACACACACACACACACACACACACACATACACCATCATTCTTATCAGCAGTATCCTCTATCATTTATAATCACCAAGAATATCTGGTTATTTAGTACCAACGCATCTCATATCTACTGATTGCATGCACCATTGCATAATGCATGCTGCAATTGCTAAATGCGAGCCAATTTGACAATGCATAAATGAATGGGCCTTTTTTTTTATTAAAGACATTCATTCATCTTATTTCTGAATCGTACTTCAACTTTTGCATGGCACCGATATTTGGTAAATGTTGCAGGATGATCTTTCGTCATGCGTTTGTTCACTGTTTGTCCGCTTTGTTAGTAGCTCATTTTAAAAGTTTGTCATTTGAATCATTAATTACAATTCAATAATTAACTTCTTATTAAAATACGTTATGTTGCATCTTTGATTCGATTCCCGCCACCGTTGAATTCATGAATTACCTACCATCTTAACTCCAAACCTTTCATCAGTTCAATTCTAACTAGTTACTGATTAATTAGCCCATACCCTAGTTTTCTGTTTCCTCGTTTGGTATTTAAAATTTATGATGGCACAATTTGATCAACCAATTGTAAAAGGCTATGTTGTTATAGCTCTACTCAACACGATACCATTTTTGCCAAGTTTCGGAACAGAAATGATTTGATGAAGGTGAAGTTTGACCTCATAGTGAAACTAATAGGTCATGAAAACTGCAATTAAGATTTGATTCAGTGTTAGAATAAAGTTAAAAGTTTATCGAAATATTCAAAAAAATTTGCTTGCAGAATGAATAAAGTTAACCGTATCGCATTTCTGCAAAGTAAAAAATTACTGACTGAACAATGCTTATTTCTTAACCTTTATTTTTTCATATGTAAATTTCCTACTTAATATTTTCCCATCACAAATTTAATTCAAAGTTTCATGCAGAAAACACTACCTTATTGAATCAATTAAATCTAACCAATTCTTATTCCTCCTTAATTATTGTAAACTGATTGTTCATACGAAAAGATTTCTCGCAATTTTGCAAATGGCAATAATTTCAAACCGTTCACATCAACCATTCATTACCGATTCCCATATGCATATTCTAATTTATCTTATAATTGTCAAGAAATCGATAATTCTTCTTCTTGTACGATTATTTGTTCATAAATCAACTAATTTATCGATCATAGTTTTAATTCACTTAAATTATTTTCTCTTGAAATAATTTTTATTACTTACAGAAACTTTTCTCGAAAAAATTTTACGCTCAGCTCTTTTTTTTCTTCTCTCTCTCTCTCTCTCTCTCATCTTCATTTCGAATTTTAATAATTCTGAAAAAAATAAAAAAGACAAGGAAAAATCCTTTCTTATAGTTTATTTCTACTTTTTATGCGTATGTGAGAGTCTAATAAAAAAATTGGGAAGGAAATGTTAAAGATGAGTCATGAAATGTGATTGTTTAAGATAATTTATAAAAATATAACAAAGCAAATGACATAATTAGGATTATGGAGAGATTTATTCATATCGTCCATTTTAATGTTGTCCATAATCGGTCATTCTTATTTCACTTCATCCTATTCCTTTAGACATATTTTTAGCTTATCAACTCAAAATTACCATACCTTCATTCAGAAAATGACTTATTATTTGTCTCATCAAATCATGAATATCAATGATGAGAAATTTACATAAAATTCTATTCTAAAAATTTTATAAGAAATAAATTTTGCAAATTTAAATATTTGCTTAAGCAATTTGATTGATAAAATTGTGACAAATATATCTACTTTTTTTTTTTTTTTTT